TTTTCTAAAAAGTGGGGGGGGTCATCTTATAATCAGGATTGTCATTTCCAACACAGAGCTGGTGCTGGTGCTAGGCTGGTCCTCACTTGGTGTCTTTTGAGGACCTGCCCACGTTTTCACTGGTTTCATGAAAGAACAGAATGGAAATGTTAGTGAAGGTTCATACGTATTCTGTATTCATATGTATTTCATAAGCTGCAGAACTGAAAAAAAGTTTTCATTCACTCGATCATTGCACCCTGTCTCTATTGCCTATATGTATATATATGTACTTTTGTCTCCATAAAGGCTCCCCATCTGTGTGCGTGATTTTATTCTCAGTTAGTATTTTTCTGTTGTCCTTCTAAGGATTGCGCAATAAAAGAGCCTACTAAAAACTGAACTTTGCTGTCTGCCACCTGACTTTTTTCGCCACTCAAGCGGCACAATAATTTATTTATTCAACCTGTGAAATGTTTATGATTTATTATTAAATCTGGCCAGCATATCGATCTCTCGTTTTCCACAGAATAAAAAAACAATGTAACGTTATCCCATTCATGAGTTTTTTCACTGCCTACACCGGTGATATTAGACAAAAGAATATCAGTTAGGGATTGAATTTTCCAGGTATGCAGAAGGTTTAGATGTGAGAGCCAATCCCACATTTGCTGACATTAGGTTCCAAATTCTGATACCAGCTTTTCTCCATGCTGGAGCCATTTTCTCTGGCCGATGGTCAGTATTTTGTGGTGGAAACACGTATAACTAGTTCTGGATAGGCAAAAAGTCCGGTACCGCATTGGTGGAAATGAGGTATGATATTCAAGCCAAAAAGGTATTGAAGATGACAGAGCTGACAATTCACCATAATTCACCTTAGGTTGGACACATATTTTACCAATGTTGGATTTCAAAATCACTTACCTCCCCTTATTAAATGCCTGACAGATAAAGCACCAGTAAGTAGGACTACAGGTATGACAGCGATGCAGAGCCCCAGAATCAGCCAATGGAAGGACGAATAACCTAAAAAAATAAGAAATACATTCTGTTACTTACATCCTTGATAATTTTTTTAAGTTGGTCCAACAATTTCAACAACTTTTTTTTCAGTGCAATACAAACAATCTGTTTTAAGGCCTCCATTGTAAAATTGTGTAATTGACACTCGAATATAATATTAACATGTAATATGAAAATAACATGTAGTATTTAAGTGACCAAATAGTATTGGAGGAAAAGTTATTGAATAGTGTTGGAATGAAGTGATAAAATCGGGAAGGATTAAAATGTTCCAAGAGCTCAAATTACTTTAACAAAACATGTTTCAATCACACTGTATCAACAGAAAATACACAGGTTTATTGAATATGAATAACTTGTGTTAATTTAACTCAATTGTTCAAGTTGCTGCCAAAGCAAAACATCTGTGTGCAACCACTGTCCACTATTGAATTAAGTAAATCCAACATGTTCTTTTTTTCAGTGTAGTAGAGTATAATGAGCATATCTGATGTAACAATTTGTCTTACAAAACTGGAGCAACACATTTATTTTAGGTGCATTGGGCCTCATTCACCAATCGTTCTTACGAACAAATTTGTTCTTAAACCCCACGTACTCACACTTTTACGAAGATTCTGACATTCAACAATGTTTTCTTATCTGAATTTGTTCTTAGCTAAGAACAGAATCTACGCACACTGAAGACCATTCATACGCACATTTGAGTAATGATAGATTGTTCAAAATAATCGGTTATAACAGTTTTGTTCATTCTACAGCTGATAAAATAATAGTATTTGAATAATTTATAAAAGTAAAATATAAAAAATAATTTTAGAGTGTAAAAATTATTTTCATGGTAGTAACGGATTATAATGCGGATTATAAATAGGTCTGTTTCTGTGCATTGGCCTTGCTATCAAAATGGCATTTCTGTTACTTCTTGAAGAGCTTGCCAATCGTGCTCTGAGAAGGGAAAACATGTTTGAAGATCATTTAGATTTATAGTGCCCTAACCATAATTCTTGCCCTAACCCTAACCCCCCAAACCCTTACCTTAACCCTAACCCCTAAAACCTAACCCTAATCCCAAGACGGTGGAACTGCACATGCGCAGAAAGGCTTGATAGCACGTCTCGATAGGTAGGATGTTTTGTCAGAACAACGGGACCAGCGGACGTCGTCCGTTATAGATGATATTCTGTTATGTCCACTATAATGGGATTTTACTGTATTAATACTTCTACTATACTAAGCATTACTGAAGTTTTTTTTCCTCTTAGTGCCAAGCGGCCCACAGCCTGCGCGTCTCTTTGCTATTCCTTGCACACGGCCCTTCAGTCTCATGCCCTTTTATGGGAAATTGCAGGGCGTTTCCCTATGCTAATTAGGACAAACTTGCACATGCTTTCAGTTACAAAGACGTGGGATTCATCATCCTTAAGAACAAAGGTGCGAACAATTCTGCTACTTAAGAACATGTCATGAATCCGATGTAGGTTGTTCTTAACAAATTTTGTAGGGACAAATTTAAGAGAATTCTTAAGAAAATATTGGTGAATGAGGCCCATTATTCCTAACTGTTTACTGCCCTACATGATTATTATGTGAAAATAAAACAATTACACATTACATTGCATTACTCTAATAAACTACATGATATGATAGAGAAGAAAATTGCACCAAAGGCAAAGCCTGAAGCAAAAATGTATTTTTCTATTGCTTTTTATTGTATCACTGACCAGATCAGTTAGATCAGGGGTTCCCAAAGGTGACTGAGGAGCCTGCAATTAATGGAGGGCCATACAAGAAAAATAAATAAATAAACAAACAACCATTTATTTATTTTTATCATTCAAATGTGACTACAAGAATTTTAAAAAGTTCCACACCTAAATTTAACCACTAACTTAAAACAAGCAATCTATCAAAGATAAATAAGTAAATTAATAAAAGTGCTGTATTGAAATGAACATGAGTAGTTGTGGGCGATACGATGATATTTTATCACAACTGTATCTATGATACACATTTCAGACATATCAAAAGAACAATGATACAGCATTAGATTTATATTTACTTTTACAGTATAATCCAGTTATAGTGGACTCGCTTATAATGGAATATCGTCTATAACAGAGGTCCGCTGGTCCCGACCGCTGGCCTTTAAGAACGTGCGGAAAAAGCATCGGATATAGCAGACTCGCATATAACGGAATTTCACTTATAACGAACGAACAATTTGGTCCCCAGGGCCGATTTTAGCTGTAGTTTTGTTCGGCTATAACAGACATGCAGGCTCCACCTACAAGGTGTATGGCGTGCTGGTGATTTCCAGTGCAAGTATAACCACTTATAGGCCATATATACTTCCAACAGTCAGGTAAAGTTGGATTACTACATGTACAATATAATAATCTATACCACAAGTGTGTCTGCTGGGGTGTGGCATGAGTAAATGGTGTCCTGTAGTTGTGTTCTGGGCATATAGCAACTGTGGATATAACAGACTTTGGATATAACGAACTGTTTTGTGACACTTTTGTCCAAGGCAAATAGCACATTACAAACATGTGTGACTAGGAATAAGCGCGGTTAAGCTGAACTTCTAATAAATGCCCAGTTACAAGTGCACTATTTAACATGATTATTACAAGACAAACCAGCTAGCACCTATCACACAATGCCTGCATGTGCCGAGGCTGCAAAGGTTATACAACAAAAAAAAACAGACCAAAATGAAACAAAGCATTTTCAGGCTGAATAGCATGTCATCGCTGTCTGTATGTCTTACTTCTAGATTTGGTTCTTTCAGAAACAACAGCATTGTATTTCCTGGGTAGTTATGGGGCGCCAAGTGTCAAGCACTCATTTTCATGCACAAAATACATTCTGTGCCACAAAAAAAACATTTAATGACAAAATCAAGTAATACCTTCCTGTATTTTGTCCTCCAAAGCATAAGGACTTCACTTTCTTTCATGCACAGAAATCAAAAAGAATGTTTCATTTTGTGCACAGAATTGATATCAGCACTTTACATTTCGCGGACAGAAGAAAGTTATTTTGTGGTCGAAATGCATTTTGTGAATGAAAGAAAGTCATTTCATGGACAAAATGCATTTCATCAATTAAGGAAAACCATTTTGTGAATGAAATGCATTCCGTGAATGATACAGTCATTTCGTGGACAAAATATAGCATGTAGTAGGTGTGTGCTCGTGGGGGGAGTAGTACTTTCCAATGACCAGAAGGTGAAGCACCAGCTTTGATTTTCCCCTGAATAACACTGTCCCCGATAGTTCAGATCAGATATACTGGGTAGCCTGTGTGTAAAATAAAACAATAAAATTGTGAATGGATTAATACGAGTCACAAACAGTCTGCGGATCCTCATAGAATTGCTGGAGTCACAAACTGCAGATGGAGCTACAGTACATTAACGTCGCAAGTGCTTTATGTTCCTGAGTGTGTCACCCCCAATAAATCCTGTGTTTTGGTCCCATATAATATAATGTAATTGCATTATATTAATATAATGTGATTGCATGTTATAAACTGTAAAAGAGCTTTTATTGTTTCCTCTTTTCCTAAAATTCACACTCACATTCCAAACTAATGGGTGTGAGGGGTAGTGACATTTCAGGCTGAGGAATTTTATATTGTAATAATTATTGTTATTGTTTTATCACCCAGCCCTACTTATAGGGACTAGTTCTGGCTCTAGCTAGCTACTCACCCCTAGTGTGAGGTGTAGAGCTGGGTGGGGATCGGTGCCATTGGCTTTGGATAAACTGAACTATCAGTGCTGTCACTCTAGCTTCACACCTCCTTGTGGAACTGGAGTGCTGACATTTCAGGGACTCCCCATGCCTGCGGTCCCACCTGCCTCTCCCTCCTACTTATGCTGCCATAGCCATATCTGCTGGAGCTTACATACTGCACTCACCTAACTGTTTGCACTACCTCTGTCACATCTGCCTTGGTCACTTGAGGCTTTGGGCAGGGATCATGTAAAGTGCTTTGGGACAATGTAATGTTATGAAAATGGGCTTTACAAATAAAACTGAATTGAACTGAATTGAAGTTGATTTGATTAAAGTGTAAAAACTTATCCTTTATAGTTTATTTGAACACCCATTTTCAGCCTCTCATTTCACACAGCACACACCTTTAATTGGTGCTCACATCTTTTAAAACTATGTATTGCCCTCCATTTTTTCCTACTGCAAGCTTCTTATAGGTATATAATACAGGAGATGTCGAACAAAACAACAGCATATTGGGATGTCCAAAAAGTATGCTTTAGCACTGGACATAAACCTCTGAGAAAGATTAAAGGTATTGTGATGCTGCATGACATGTTTTGTAGGCTGCACTTGGGAACCCCTGAGTTAGACTAAAGGATGTGCATAAAGGTCAGAATACACCAGGACCACTGCCCACAGGAGAATAAAAATGCGAGACAATCACATAAAATTGTCCATGATAAAACCACCCAGTGACTCACCCAGTGCTGCTATCCTGGCAGTTGAATTGGCAGAATCAGTATCTGAGTGGACTTGACACCTGAACTCTCCTTTGTCTTCAGTCCTGACTTTCCTCAGTTTCATTGAGAAGTTTCCTTTGGGAATTTCCTCAGTGAAGAAATCAGCTCTTCCAAAGTATCTGTCATCCTGCGACTCTGGTCTGTTCTCTCCATCATCATACAGAAGCACCAAGATGTCATCGTCTGTCTTTCTCCATTCCACCTCAAGCTCTGTCACATTAACATGGGTGTCCACAGAGCAGTTGAGAGTCACATCCTCTCCAGCATGTGCATAGACAGGCTCATCTGCACCCGTCACCACCAGCCACTCTGGAACAAGAACAGGAGGATTCACACGACCTGGCAACCTGACACAAGAATTAAAGTAAAAAAAATAATAATCTTCTGACTGAATTTTTTTCAGGCCACATTAGAACATGTACACACTGTAGAGCTTTTTTAAGGTGGGTGCTGTGCCACCCTTTTAAGAGAGTAACTGCTTCTTTTCTGCAGTGCAGTCCCTTCCCATGGGTTTTCAGGGTTGTGGCAGCTGAGAAAATGGCAGACAGTGTGTACATGCCCTTAGCTCTCAAGGCCTGCAAAACAAGTAAAATTATAATATTTCAGCACCAACCCATGCATAACCCATCCCTGCTGTTCTGTTATGCAGTCATCAAGTTGTAAAAATGGCTTTTACTTATACTTTATTTAAGTAACGGAGACCAATCATTTTTAAACAGGAAATATAATTTAATCATTTCTTAATATGTATCATTTTTTGTCAACAAAAATCAGTGTGTAGGCTACACTCTACCCATGGAGCATAACCGTGCTCATGATAATGCTGCCTATCCCTGCTTAGTGCACTGACAAGGATACAACCACCAATTAAATAAACAATTCAGTGTGTCACAATTCAGAACTCTTTCACTCACAGAGGCTGCATCATAACCATGCCACAGTGGGCCAGACTTAAATAGGAAACCTGCAGTGGGTTGCACCAGCTAAGATTAAGCTCAACTGCTGCCTAGAGTGGACGTTTGCATCGGTTGCACCATGCAAATAGTTCAAACGTATGACTTAAGGTACACTTTACACCCAACTTTACAATCAAACTTGCACTTAGCCGGTCCAATCAACTGCTGCTACGTGAAATTTAGACAGAGCTATTGTGATGTGCAAGTTTGCAAATTTTGCATTACCGTTTGCTTTTTCGCTTTCGCGAACGAACACTGACTGCCACATTTCAAATGAAAAAGCAAAGTCCATTTGCAGTTGCATTTCCCATGTCTTACAGGTTATGAGCCTGTCATATTTAAATAGCAAAATCAATTACCACGTCTGCTTTTGCACTTTCTCTGCGTTGCGTATGTAGCCTGTCAAAACTCAAACGCAATCGCAATTCATTTTGCATTGAACTTCCGACGCCTTACACGGAAACCTGTCAATCAGCGTCAGGGGTGGGTCTATACTGTGGGGCGTGATTGTATGGGGAGTGACTCGCAGTCGATGACCAAGAGGGGGTGTGGAAGTAAATTAATGACAAAAGTCGTTGATGAAAAAAACACGTTGAATTACACTTATCGAATAAAAACGCATTGCATTAATGACGCTTTGAATTTTTGGGGTTCAAATGTAAACGAACAATATGAACTTGCTTGTAGATAAAGGCACACCATTTGTTGGCGGTGCAGAAACAGTATATGGCTTATGCTGACAATTGGAGCACTGACTCCCCTCCTCCTGACCTATTAAAAACTTAGGGGTCAATTCTCCCATGCCCTTAAATCAAAAAGCGCATAGCTGCATGCTTTGTTGACTTAAGCGTATTCTCCCATCAACTTAAGTGTGGGGATTAAGTGCACTTATGCAATTTATGTGCTTTGGCTGGAGAAAGACCAAACTATGGGCATGTCACATGTAAATGACCCTAAAGTGCATTCTGTAACTTACTTAAGCAGACTAAAGTTTCACTATATGCTCAGAAGGGCTGTATTAAGTCATGCAACCTCTACTTGGCCAAGTACAATACCATGTAACAAAAAATGAAATTAACATGTATAAAACATTTAGAAACAAATGTTATAATCCGAAGAAGATATGAATAACTCATATAATTATATAAGAATTATGTAACGCACCAGTATATAGCAATATGCAAGTATAAACAAAGTATATTTTCATTACGCAGGATTCAAGTAAGATCTACCTTGTCAACATGCCTAGCAGGCAAATCAACGAACCAGTGCTAAATGACTGGTCAAATTCTTTCCATTAAAATGAATAGAAAAAAGTTCCCAAAGGAGTAGCGTGTGCTCGTCACCCTAAGCCACAGTACAAGTACTTGCACTAGTGAAAAAGTAGGACAGACAAGGACAACCTTGTCATGATGTGCTTCAAGTTACCGACACTTGTTTTCAGGTGGATCGTGAAACACTTAATTCTGAATTCCAATTCATCCCGTATTTGTGTACACATACATATACTACATACACTAGGGCAGGGGTCCTCAATGAAACTATCTGACCAGGACACTCACCTAACTGGTAACCATTCTATTCTTAATAGGGCAGATGTGTGGGAGATTGTGTGAAATTGGTTTGGAATATATATACTGTCAACTAAGCAGCAGCATATACGTTTGTTTGCATTATGCAGTTCACTGCAATATTATTTCATCAGCAATGCATTCTTAACCTTCAGTCCATACTACAAATAATACTAACACTTACACCATATCTATTGGTTAGGTGTATTTGCTTGTGTCCAGAATTCTTCTGAATGAAGAGCGAAAAGAGTTTTAAAAAGAGATTGACAACAGATTATTGAAGGCGTAACCACCTTGTCTTGCTTGATGATTAATCATACTTCTTGCAGGGCCACGCTTTTTTTTCGGGTTAAGTTCACTGGGCATGTCCACACTGATAAGGGGAGAATCTGCTTAACTGAAAACCACATAACTTTTTAAATACTTTTTTTTTTTTTTATTAAATGCTTGAGAAAACCTACCCCTTACAGCCTAGTGAATACTGCATAGGAGTACAGTATACTTTATATGAAAGAAGTCTGATAATAATATGTGTCAAACACATGTAATATTAAAGGCAATTAAAAATATTGATTCGGGTGAAGGGAAAGGTGACAACTGTTTGAAGATTTTAAGAGATACAGAACTCAAACTTAATCCGTTCAGAACTCGGGTTTGAATCCTAAAAAGTTCGAGTTCTGATCGAATTTTCCCCATAAGAAATAACGGAAAACCAATTAATTGGTTCCCGGCCCCAAAAAATTACACCTAAATATGTTTTTTTTAGCATTTAAACACAAAATGAACAGGATAAAACAAGAACAGCATATACTAAACACATCTAAGAACATTTATTAAAACAGTAATTTGTAAATTAAGAAAAACTACTTTGCCTTGCAGTAACCTGTCTGCTACAGTAGCTACCTGAGGCTAATGCTCCGTGCACAGAAAACCTGACAGGAAAAAGAAAATTTCTTCTCTCAATGACGAATATACTCATCAAAGCTTATGATAAACTGCCAAAACCCAGCCAACGACACACAGCAGCAAAACTGCATTTAGGTACATTTTATATATAGTACTGTATTATAGTGTATTTTAATGATACATAGTTCAGTAGTTTGAAAAGCATTTGAAACAGCTGTACTGTATTTTGAACGAGTCAATAAAATTTAGTACATAGTGATGCTGTCCGTTTTATTACCTTATACTACTGTAATAAATATACAAATGTCAATTAGGTTGTGATATGCCTGAAACATAAAGAAAAAGCAAAAAAGAAAAAAATATGTTATAATTATCACTATAAGTGTTTTCCACTGTATATGATTGGTTGTTTCGGTTTGTTATTACATCCTTCACAAGCTCCACAACAATCATTATTCCCTCCTGACTGAGGCGGAATTCAGAGTTAATTTAATATTTCCAAGACATTACAATGTTGATTGACAGCAGCCATTTTGTGACTGTTCGGTCTTAGTGACTTAGGAGTCCTTTCAGCCACTATTTTGTTCTCCCAGACATAGGTGCTACTTTTAGTGTAAGGGGCTTTATTAATTACTCTTAGTAAAAAAAATTAGGAGTCCTACATGTAGGACTGACACGCCCATTATTTTCAGGAGTTTCTCCTAAATTGGCAAGTTAGGAGCTACTTTAAGCCTTAAGATGCTTTGTGAATATGGGCCCAGGTCTTACAGTTTAGGCTGCCCACATCATTCTAGGGAAGAAAACAAAAGCAATAGTAGTAAAAGAAAAAAAAAATCCTAGCAAAACAATAGTGGTCCATAGGCACTATGTGTTTTGGATCCTTAATAATTTGTTATCATTCACTTTAGTTGTCCCCCCAACTTTTGAAATCATTTCTATGCCCACACTGTCAGAAAAAAGTACCAATTTGTACCTTTGAGGGGACAATAACTTGTTGCTGAAGCTATACCCTCATGGGTCGGCCAATTGTATCCTAACTATAAGCTATATTCACTGCACAGACATAAAGTGGGTGTGTTCTGGTTTGGCAATAGGAGCGACGCTTCGTGACTCAAGGGGAAGGGTGGGAATAGCTGGTTAAGGACATCAGACTTTCCCATCAGACTATGCTTTCTGTTTAACTTTCAAAGAAGGAGGCCTACAAAGGCTACACTTTCATAGACTACGTCCTTCAAAGGAAGCAACCCCTGAATTTGGAGACAGCCTAGACAGCCTTTGTAGGCTGCTTCCTTCAAAGGTCCGCACAGTGAAACTTGGGATCTTGGCAAAAGAATAACACGTTGCTAGGCTATATTTGACGAAATATTTTTGTACCATTGGGGGTACATTAATGTTGCTTGTACCTTGAGGAACTAAACTGTACCAGGGCTGCACCCTTTTTTCTTACAGTGCATGGTTCCAAGTATTTCTTTTTAAATGTCATAAAGGTAAAGATCAGGACATCTTCACACTAGAGATAAACTGCGTAAATCATATTTTAAAAAGCAATGAAATTACACTACATACCACAGCAGAATGATCAAATCCAAAAATAAGAAATAACAACACAAGTACATGTGTCTTAAGCCATAAAACAGAAAGGTTCACTTGCCTAATTCCTGTATTTCCACCTGTGTTTCACGTTGCTCCTGCTCTGTATAAACCACACACTTGTACACTCCTGCATCTGCAGTCCTCACACCCTCAAGCAGCAGAGAGAAGTTGCCTTTGGGGATTTCCTGAGAGAAGAAGTGGGCTCTGTCAATGTAGGCGTCCCCCTGTGATTCAGGTCTGCTCTGACCCTCCTGGAATAGGTGGACGACGGTGCCTGAATCAGTCCTTCTCCAGTCCACCTCCAGCTCCTCCAAAGGCAGGGGTCTGTCCACAAAGCAGGGCAGCAGTACAGCTCCTCCCAGCCGGGCTGTTAGAAGGTCAGCAGAGCCGTGTAGCAGGAATCCTAACATCGTAATAAGAGGTATCTCGTCACGACTCAAATCAGTAAATAATAAGCACAAATCATCCATTATAAATTAGTTATTTGAGAATTCGGTCAACAAACATTGCTTTATCAGTTAATCAATAATAATAGGTAAGGTAACAAACATTCAAAACTGCCATAAAAATGTTGGAGTTATTTTTGTACGATACATACCATCAGAGATAATGACGAACTCTACAAATATCAAAATAATGCTGAGACTTTTGATCATCTTCACCTATTAGGTTGCGGGTAGTGATTTTTCTTTCGCGAAGAACTGTTTCTATTCGACTGGAAATATTTTAAATATTTGAAACATATATGCACTTTGACGCAGTTAAAACTTCTTTTTGACCTAAACTAATTTTCACTTTCAGTTTGCACCGGATGAGGAGGGATTTCCAGAAATCGGTGTTCGGGTTAATAAGTATGGTGTTCCTTTTGTGCCAAAAAATAAGTCGATATGCCCGCGTCCACTGAACAAGTAGCATACAACGAGGCTGAAGCTGGCTCCTTATTTGCGTTTCCTTTTTTGGATTTTCCGGTCCACCTTAAATGACGTGCAGCCCAATGCAATGACGCGTTTTCGCCTGTAGGGGGAATATTTAGTAGTGAGAAAATTTCACAAATGGACTTATTGCACAGGTGGCATCCTATCACGGTACCACGCTTGAATTCACTGAGCTCCTGAGCGCGACCCATTCTTTAGCAAATGTTTGTAGAAGCAGTCTGCATGCCTAGGTGTTTGATTTTATGCACTCGTGGCTATGAAAGTGATTGGAACACCCGAATTCAATGATTTGGAGGGGTGTCCCAATATTTTTGGCAATACAGTGTACTTTCATAGAAGTGACAACAAGTTAGCCGAAGCGTGTTCAATTGATATAAATCGAAAGCCAAATGAAGTTCTGAAGGTAAGCCCCCTACAGGCGCAACCCTATCATTGCATTCGGCTGCGCCGCATTTAAGATGGACCGGAAAATCCGAAAACTGGGATGCGAATAAGGAGCCAACTTAAGCCTCGTGAGGACACCTCCAATAACCTCGATCCATTACGGGGCACGTATAGGAAGAGCTAACACTTCTGACCTTAGTATTTTAAAAATCCTGGCTACGGCCCTGGCTGTATTTATTAAAATTACCACAATGGATATACATATGTGAATATGTAATGTAATGTCTGTACAAAGTGTAACATCTGTTGAGATGCAACCCAAAACACCTGTATCATATACTGATGTGAGTCAGTAACATACATGATATAAGTAATTGTTAATTAATTAATACAGATGGTATGAGGTGTGAACTGCTAGGCTGGTATGG